TAATCATATATCATTCAAATATACTCATATAATTAACGCGATATAACCTAGCAATGTGATACGTTTAAACAAACTGCTAACAAATGGGTTTGTAAACAGGTCGTTTTTATAATCTCCAGAGTGAAAAATAGCTATCATTTGTGTACCTACAATATAGCTTTTTTCGCTTCTTTTAAAGCACCAGATTTTGGCAGCATTATTGTAATGTGTATGCGTATTAGGATGTGGTTTTCTAAGTCAGAAGTCGAATGCCGTTTGTTGCTTGGTGGGTTGTTATTCAATTTTTTGAGGGTCTTGTTATTTGCAGACAGTCAACGTTCATGTTTTATACCATATAAAAACAGCACTACATAATTTTTTTTTAGTGAAAATTGTTACTCTAATAACACCTATGAATGTTCGAGGGCATTTTGACATTACAATTCACCATCGATGTTCTTCATATACTGCTTTTAACCGATATCCATCGCTAGTTATGCTGCGGTTTCTTTACAGAGTAATGACATTTTCATTTTAACCCCTCAAATCTTATAATCATTCTCATACAAAAGCCCCTAAGATTCGAAATCAACCGGTAGATCTTTTTTTAAGAAAGAAAAACCAGCCAAGGAATTGGATCTTATAGTACTTTACTTGACATCAGAAGCCAAGTAGAAAGTTCAGAATAAACTCTGCTGCTCTATAATATCTACACTTAATAGGTCTCCTGTCGCCTAATCATACGACTATTCAGTCAGTTTGAGTTTTAGAGTACAATAATTGCATAGCTTTTTAAATATCTAGACCCTGGTAGTATACTAAATGCCTATTTTACAGACTATCTGTCGATTTTAAATGATAATGCTGTAGCACTACGTGGCTAAATAGGACACCAGGAACTCTCCTACTTAACAAAACAAGACCACATTAATAAAAAAAATGCAACATCATTACTGTATAACTGAAAAGATTTAAATATATCACAGAATTTAGGATTTCATAACTCTTTTTTCCGTAACTTCCTTACAGTCGAAAGAAACTGGCTAATTCAAGTAAGTTAGGAATGAATGAGTTCAAAGATATTTTTAAGAAACTTTCGATTTAAGCTGGAAAGTAGTTACAATGTATGCAAGGTCCGATGTAAATAATCATGATCTCGTGCGGATATGTGACTAATAGCCTCTGATTGGGTGTGTCTAGTAGAACTAACGAAGTGATCTTAATAGTAGACGACTTAAGGAACTATTATTTTGGAATTCGTTTTTAATTACAGACTCAGACAGTGACATAAAGAACGACTTGACTAGGTCTTTAAATAAGCCCAAAGCCCCACTGGTAATTATGCCTAACCTATGTAAATCTGGTGAGCTGAGAAGAAACTGTATAAAAAGTCTTTCTTGCTCACCTTGACTTCAATGACCAGATGTTTCATCAAAGACAAAGATATGAGAAATCGTCTTGGTCACCACTTAGAGCGATGTCTAGTAATCACTAAGAGACCGTTTCACAAACGTACTCTTACTTGAAATCAAAAGTAAATTCCAATTCTCTGAGTGGATCAAACATTCTTGAGGTTTAAACACTTTAATATAGCCCTACCTTCTTAAATTCAAATGCAATAATTTTAATAACAGTACTCTCCCTTAACCTGGTTATCCCGTTGGAAACTTATATGAATATAACTGTAGAACTTCGTAAAAGGCTGTCAAAATGGTATTTTTTATTTGCATAATTAAAGATAGTTACTGTGTCTGTGCTTAAAAAGATTAGGGAATATATGTGGGTCTTTGACGCCTCCCGTCATCTTCCATGTGTTTCCCATAGAAGAGTAATGACAACATGTGGCTGGCACGTGACTTATTTAGAAACTCACTAAAATTCAGGCAACTTTAAAAAAATGGAAGTCAGTTGATATCACGCCAGTCTTCGAAGAAGTCAGGAAAAATCCAACTTGTTAAGGATCACTTGTGGTATTTTCAATAATGTTGGACATTGTGGAAGGGATAGTTTCTTCAGTGATGGTCATGGTCTGCATTATTTCACTTATAGTTATCAACGGAATTATAGATGCATCCCCACACCTGGTCATGGTATGACCATCTAATCTATATGATCTAACGTGCTAGTCACATCTTTGTCTATACCAACCCGTTATACCACGACAATCAGCATTAGTGTTTGGCATACAAGAAAAGCACATTTGGGCTTGGCAAAAAATCATATACCTAGTACAAAGAGGAATAAAACTCCACACCTCCACGGCCGATCCATGTCAACTCGTGTCAACCGTATTTGATCTTCTCTACAGTCCTAAATGTTGAGTGCAAATCTCAGTAATTAGAACAAATGCCACTACAGTTTGATGACTGAGGTAACATTCGGACAAAAACAACTTTCTTCATAGAGTTCAACACGGATTCCGAAAAAGATATTTCTTGTCTTTATGATATCCTTGCGTGAAACAGATAATTAACCTGCTGAAACAATGGAATCTCGTGCCATGTAATATTCCTGGGATGAACAAATTATATGGCAAATTACCCCGCGTATTCCTTGTAGCGGGGGTTACCAATGAAAATTTCACTAACCCACATTTATCCTAGCCTCCAAACCACGTAGTTGACTGAATGTTACTTATCAAAGTAAAAAGAGTTCACACGAATTGTGAAGTCTCAAATTTTCGTGGTGGACCATTTCAGCCCAATTTCTCTTCCTGATTTTTGTTGACACACTCCTAGATAAAATTAGCTTACCGACCCTCACGTACACTGAGTAAATCATGATATGGAGGTCTATAATGAACGAGAATGACCAACTTAAGCTTTCAGGTTATCTGCGGATACCCTCCGTTCTGTCGGCAGAAGAAATCAGACTAGTGGTGAATAGGTCCTTATTCACATCGTGGAACAGAATTACTGATGCACGAGTTCACCCTTTTCAAACGCACAAAGTCTCTCAACATTCAAAATAAGGAAGTAGGAAGTGTAATGCCAGTACGAAATATGGGAGTTACGAGTACTTGGGCTATAAACTTTTAAAATTGCTTAGACGTCTGCGGCAAACTCTTGACAAATCAACCCTAGTTGTTACAAACGTATGGAAGTGAATGACGGGCATTGGTCTGAAAACTGACCTGTCAGAATGTTATGTTGTATGTAGTAATTTAGTGAACAAGAACACCAGTGGGTACATTCGAATGTATTAAACAACATATTACAGAACATCTCAATAAAATCACCCATCTTCTGCTGCCAGTAAGCCCTAAAGGATATAAAACTAAAAATCTGCGTTGTAACTTTCTCGTTCAGTTGCTTTCACAGGGAGTTTTATGGAACTATCCACCACAGATACTGAGAGAGCCAAAGCAGATGCAACTCCTCACTTTATACGAATGTAGCTTGACGGAATTCTAACGGCATTATTTCTAGCACACTAAAACATACGCACAACCAGACATAGAAATTTACAACGTTGCTCACATTAGTTTACGAAAGAGACATAAACCTCATAGATGAAGTACAGAGATAGTCAACTGGATGATGATAGACCCAGGAAAATAATAGTACAAAGATGGACTCCGACGCTTAAGACCATTCTCGCTGAGCTATAGGAGAATATGAGTGATGTGATAACGTAGCACAACATACTAAGAACTTTGAGTCACACCAACACTAACATTCTGGCAGAACATCACAGTCATGCTACTTCCCAACAACTCTGGGATAGACTGTACATCAAAGAGGAAAATCCACGTGCGATATTACTTTTTCAAATTAAGAGTTGCTCCTAATCGAGATAAACCCCCCAGACAAAATAGTTTAGCCCTACCTAGTAGAGAGCTTAATGAGGAGACGCAGCTAACACGTACTCACCTAAAGATTATCGTAAACAGAATAGCTAACAGTACCTCATGAATGTCTCCTAACTTATTTACCATAATCACCATAACATGTCACCAGCTTATTCCTACTTCATCTAATATCATTGCCATCCGTTTTCATTACCATACTTCAGTCTGTTCATGCTGCCCTCCTTATTAACCGACTAATTTAATTATTTACTTCCTCGGACAACTGTCTTCTCTTGAAATTTCTGAATCCTAAGCTATTCCCAACCAATTTTCACACTGAAACTGACCAACATGTCTAGCGATGTGATAACTGCTAATATACGGAAAACCCTACAGTCTTCAGACAAACACATCCATTCGAATCGCAAAACATACAAATCCACAAAAGACTATCAAAATAACTAGAATAAGTGAAGTCGAATGACTGAATTACTTCATTTTGGACGTGATGAAATACATTAAACTATATCGAAATAATGAGAAGCGAGTGCAAAGAAAACAATTGGTTTATGCGAGGTCGCTACAAAGACATGGGATGGGCAAATGACAACGGACGTACCTTCAATACCTCGAAGTGTAAATAAGTCCATCCGGAACATGTTGCAGACTACAGTAACAACTCAGAAAACTCCTCACTAGAAGTGTCCCAATTTGAAAAAGATTTAAAAGTGCTGGTACCCTACTATTTCAAGTACTGAGTTCCGACAAAAATGACTTTCGAACAAACCTTGCACTGGTAACATTGAAGCGCATTATTGGCCAGACTGATGGGAAAAATTTCCATATGATCCTCAACAATTTCATTCGTCTCCATTTAGAGTACGGAAACAGTATTTCCTCCTTCACTCCGGAAGGATGAAGACACTGGAACGCATCCAACGGCAAGCCACGAAATCAGTTCGGGAACTCAAATTAAAGCCCTATGAAGAGTGCCTTTAATCACTTAACCTTCACCCATCAGGGTACAGGCGTCTTAGAGGTGACCTTCTAATTCCATGCAGTATCCCTAACACTTCTGGACATTCCCTTAAAGACCTACTTAAGTTTAACTTCAACACAAATCTAAGGGTTAATACAGAAACTGAAGACACAACACAGCGAAAGCTTCTTCCATTCTGTCCGCAACCACTTGAACCATTTTGGAAGCGCGTAAATTAACTTCAATTGGCTTATGGAGACAAGTGACGGTAAGTTGTACATCACCTGGAATAGCAAACAGTATGTGACCCAGTATATTCAAAACGAGGGCATCGATTTTAGTGATTAGCGTGAGACTTTTCTATAAACGAACCAATCAAATTGAGGATGGCAAAACTTGGAATTCAGCTCATAATTCACATAGTTAAACAGCATTTTGGCATTACACCTGACATCAATCCTTAATGAAAACCTCTTAGTTTAGTTCGTTAATCTAAATCCTAATCCTTGCTCCGCGTGATAGTTCATAAACCCTTCTTGACCGTGGCAAGTTGGAGAGTTGCCTCAAAGGTCGTCTATGAATTAGTCGCCGTGATTACCATATTTTAATCAAAGATCGCAAACTGAGAGTTCACAGGACTGCTGGTTTACTATTCTATGCTGTAGATCCCTCTAAAGCAAGATAACATGGTGACCAAAAATCAAAATAATTAACGTGTATCAGACTTATAAGGACGAAAGTACCGTTTTACATGAGTTCGAAGACTTACGTGCTAACGACTTGCTTTCCGTTCCACTGATTGTCACGCCCTCTTGTTTTCTAATTTCGTTGTTAACTAATTGCCAAGAATTTCTTGGGTTATTTGATTTTTGCTATTAAGTGTTAGTCCCTTTACTAGAATTCAACCTCGAGATTTCTCTAGCTCGGACAATGACCCTTGCTGTTATCTGACTGCTTCTCGCCTATAGCTTGCTAGTTTTTCATGTTTCTTAGTCTTCGCCTGCTCGAATAACAAGTTTCCGTACGCTATCACTTTATTTTTGTGTTTCCTTGCGGCTGTGGATTATTGTTGAGGAGTTTTGTGTCAGCAACTCTTTTCAAGTCCACGATTAAGTTCGTATTAAGATTATCTCTTACCTACTTAGGCTTGTTACTCCCAAAGGAGCATAGGCCGCAGACCAGCAGTCGCTGTAGGCCCAACCAAACTATCGCAAGATCTAACACTAATGTAACAATACAATCTGACTCACATTTATGTAAAACCCGACTTTTTATTCTAGTTTGACCAATGTTTTAGATAAGATAATTATAAAAGTTTGTAGACCAATAAGAGCTAACTTAGCGCAGGTCGGTAGATGATATGCAGTTATACAATTTATCCAAGTGATAGCTACTCACACAAATTGGTTACTTCCCTGCGCTTTCAAACAAGTTTTTGAAAGACATGATAAATGCATTCAGAATGCTACACCACAACATGCGTTTAAATACTCATTATTGTTACAATGTCGTTAGTTTCCATATAACTGCTGATACTTTTTCATCCATCAGGCAAACGAAACAGAAAGCTGGTTGATGCAGTAGATGAACGCAAATCTAGTGGAAGTGGGAGGTACGTTTGGAATTCTTTCCTAATGCATTTTATTTAGCTATTTTTTGAATAGTGTCAGGCCTGTGCAGGTAATTCAACATCATTTGTTGTAAATTTCACAGATGGACCCCGACAAATATCCCGGTTTCTATGTCTTTCAAGAATCTGTGTTTGGAAATATCATCTTACCTGCGATTCCAAGAAGTGAGACAAACAAATGAATACTACTTTGACTCAACTTTTATGATAGATTTCATTCCTTTTATCACGCAATTTACTTTTTCTTATTTCCATCCATTTTTTCCTTTTTTTTTTTTGATTATTTTGTAACTTTTAGCTGAAATTACAAGCAAATGCATTTTTGTATAATAAAATACTGGTGCATGATATTTGCAAACCTTAGTGAACTTTACTCTTATCATCCATCTACATTTTGTTTAGCTCGGACTATAGTCATTTTTACCTCAGGGAAAATAACTAGGGCCCGCCCTCCCTCTCGAAATGCTCTCACACGGCCACGCGCATACAGCCTCTGCCAGGGAAGTCCTACTCGCTGTCTTCTCGTGGCAAGGGTGTTGTTTACGAAACTGAGAGGACGAAAAGCGAATGTCCGGCGCTTTAACCGGATCCCAAATCAATTGTGCGCATGGGCTCCAGTATCCTGAAGGAACAAATGGCGTATGAACCAATCGTTGGTCACCGGCTACCATGGGACTGCGTCTCCTTACGATGCTCCACTGCCTCGTGGGTCAGACCTTTAGGCCAAAGGCTCGGGGTGTGGCCCCCTAAGGAAACCACCTGCTTCGGTTTGGGCACCCGGGCTGTATCGCAGCCTACACACAAATAAAATTCTGTGTGGCGTTTATATATTTGGTGCCCTTTTGTACCAATATTTATGTGTTCAAATAAAATATAATAAGGTGTGGCAACTTGTACCGATGCACACACATGGCTGGTCCTACGTTGTAGCTGACTGACTGACTCAAACCAGCTTAGGAAGAAGGATAATAAGGTAGAAGCAAAGGAGTGGTAACAGTATTACTAAACTCAATACAGAAAACATCTATAAAAGGTTAATTAAGACCAGAGAATGGTGACTGTCGTGCGATACCGATCTCATGATATGAGACTCAATTCATTATTGCTACACAGTTAACGGTTTTAACTTTCGATCCATTCGGTTAATTATCTTATGGATTTTACACTTAGCTTTGCCGTCATCCTGAACTCCTGGTGTAGTAGTAGATCGGTACAATTCATCGTCTATTCATGCGGTAAACGTCAGTGTGGTTATTAAAAGAGTAATTATCTTCATCAAGTAAAACTTTGCTAAGTTGTTAGAATCTGATACCTTGTTAAAATAAGTTGATGCATTGGAAATCTCTAAGTAAAATCTAGAAACATTTTACTTTTTGTGTGTTCACAAGTTCTGATATGATGATTTTATCTCCCGAGTGAATTGATATGTTACTTCCGGATATTTGAAATTGCCTGAGTATTAATTTAGCAACTTTGACAATGTGATTTTTTTTTATAAGAGATACCGTAATTTTGATGAACAGTAGTTTAACCAGTGTAGCACTGTATTTTTAGCCGTTGCTTTGCAAACTCGAACTTTATAAAGTAATCTCACTAGGTTTCTTACAAATTTCCTATCATTAACTTTTACAAAATAAATATATAAGGGATTTTCATTTGTCCCAACGTGGCTTAAACTAACTATATAACTCGTTTAAGTAAGTAAAGATCATAATCTTTATTGAAATCCAGCTAATAATAAAGTTTTAAAACGCTAAATGTTTATGGAAATTCAGGTGTAGACGCTCCAAATTTAAAAATTCTCATCGGATTGTTAAAGTCTTGCCGATTTCTGTCTAGTTTACGAGGAATAATGAGTTTCGCAGCATTCACTCATGGTAGTCTATGAATTCAACTATAATTATAAACTCACTATAATAAATTCCGAACTACAGTTAGGATATGTAGAACACTTACTATGTCCAATTCATTCAAAATCCGATGGTAACGAAATCATCGCTCGTAACTCAATGAACTGCTTACTGGTTAAATATGAAGTTTCAGTATTCCGTGATGAAAACAATCCAATCACTCCATGGTTGATATCAGATTAAATATATTAGACACATTTTTGTTTGCAGTCATTCGGTTATACTTTTGCTAAAGTTAAGATTTTTTTATATCGACTGCCTACCTCATGGTAGGTTGTACGAGACTTAATTTGAAGCGATAACTGGTATAACTTCGTGTCAGTGTGCTTATGAATGCTTGCTCATTATAAATGGGAAGATCCCGATTGATAATTGAAGCCTTAGTTATTTGGCATAGGATTTTACTAAATATATAGTAAAATCTCAAAGTTGGTTTAGCATAGATTGTATTTGTCGTTTGTGTGTATCTTATCTCAGGTAGTGCCCAAAAGTTCGTTGGTTTGAGTCGTATATCAGTATGGATCTCCTCTAAACTTTCGTCGTTATCCTAATACATATGGTATTTTCCAACACGAATCAATCATGAAGTTATATACCCTGTGAAACTCCTAAAATAAACGGCTCAAAGTGTTAATTTTTACTACGGCAATCATATATATCTAAATCATAAACGCGAAACAAGGTTGATGAATAAAAATAGTTCCTTGTCGATCTTTCATTGCTAATATCTGTTGGCTGGTTTACGTAAATGCCATCTTTTAGTTGTTATCCGTCACCGTTTTTAATTTCTCAACATTTATCTTTTAAGATATGGCCACTATTTTCAGTAACTTGATGTTCCAATTGGTGTATAGTAGACTGGAGTTGGTTACATTATGCCTTGAAATTAAGGTTATATTCTCATTATTGATAATCAGTAGGATTTTCCTCAAGCCTCGTGAAAGCTTATTGTCTCTTTCTTAAGTGTCCATAACCTCATCAGTCCGTCTCTGTTACCAGTCTTTGTGTACTCACTGTGTTGCTGGATTCGATGTTTCAATACCAAACACAAATTAATTAGACATTTAAATTCAAACTCCTTTTGAATTTATTAAATACATGGGTTTTAAATTACCCAATCAGTTATTATCAACGTAGGACCCTTAGCGAGTATTTTCTGGTCCATACCTTATATAAGCACATCGAGGGGAAATCGACAAATCGAAGGTCACAGAAATGGAATAACTCCGACAGATATAAAGCGATAAATTAACTTAAACTCAATTAAATTCCCACTAGAATTTTTAGTGTACCATGAGTATAGTAATGACCTCAAGGTGATGTTTATTTATTTATTTGAGCACATAAATATTGGTACAAGAGGGTATCAAATATATATGCGCCACACAAAACAATGAGAATTAGAAGAAAAGAGAAAAACAAAAAAGAAGCCTAAAAGAAAAAAAACGATAACGAACAGATTAGTATAAGGTGTAATAATAATAATGGGGGAAACGAAAAAGTGCAATCAGAAGAAATCGTTCAGTTTAGGAAGAAGCAACCACTTTTTATGAAGAAAGTAAAAGAAGGTTACAGCAGGATCGCCACTGGCTTCTATTCTGAGCCATATCTGATAGCGTTTCTTGCCACTGTGTTGCACCATCTCTAGGACCCCATCCAGGGAGTCGTGAAGGACCAACACAAGTCAGCCCTTTTCAACTTTCTTCCATACCACGACACCATGTCATACACTGACCGCCTCTCCGCTTTTTCCAACCAGTCCCAGCGTCGGCAAACAATGAGGGTTTAAATCTCCGGAGAGATATCTTTGGTTTTTATTTGCTGTCTGTTGAATGAGTGGTAGTCAATATCAGACATGCATAGTTTTCTGTCGATTACCAGGTAAGATAAAAGATCATTATCAGTTTTAAATGGACACTTTATAAACTTGTAATGTTTGTTGTAAAACCCTGTGATCTTACCTGAATAAAATAAAATGTGTGTTATTAGTTAGCGGTTAATCGTTTCACTCAAATCATTAACAGTGGTTTAATTATTCAGAACCTTAGCAAAGTGAAGTTGATTTGTTCACTGGAGGCCAGTTAAAGGAGATATCTGATCATTTTTATTCAAGCAGACAACAAAGTGGTATGAAATAAGGCCCCGAAGAATGTCAAATGTTATGGAGACAAATGATTCAACGAAAAGTTGTTTTTTTGGATTAGGGCTTGAAAGTAAAATGACTACTAGGATGTTCACTAGTTTCTTCGTATATCCTTATGCGAAATAAATGTATTTAAAGAACAATATCCTACCACTGGGTTACATCTAGTAAGTGTCGAAAATAATAATGCGTTTGATGAATTTTGTGATTTGAAGATTAAGAATAGTAACGCAGAGTCAATAAACAGACAACTCAATGTACAAAAAACATATTGTAGCAACCTCACAAATATTTTGAAACACGTTACATTATCTGTTGATGTAAAACTATATTTTTTCTTTAAGAAATGATTTTAATACCACGTGACTTTGTTTATGTTCCCTTTACTGTTCCACGTGTACAAGAACAATTGCTACTTTCTAAATTACATCTTAATTGAGTAAACATTCCTTCAGATCACTACTACTTATTCTTATTAAGTACTTTGAGTCATATTTGACCATATATATAGATTCTTTCGTAACAAGTGATATTTTTTGTTACGATAAACCAATTACCCTTCTACTGATACTTCTATTTATATATCATTTGATATGAAGGGAAAAAAGATGACATTGATCTAAATATTTTTTGTCCAAATCTATTATGAATTTTGGCTAAGATAACAAGTGTGAGCTTCGTTCAGCGAGGAATTTTTATTCTATATGCCAATTCAGGTAGATGAACAGCGTTTACATGACTGTCGTTTTTCTCCTTTAATCTCAAAGTTGAATTTCGAGGGTATGACCATATTAAGTTGGTTTGCATTTTCTGACCATATTCTCTCATCACTCAATTTGCCTTTTGTGTTCTACTTTATACTACTTGCTGATATTTAGTAAACAGTTTTATTCTTAATAATTTCTATTAATATGGTGTGTAATATCCTAGAATATTTACATGATTATTTTATTTATTTTAACACATAAGTATAGGTACAGGGAGGCACCAAATACATATGCGCCACACAAATCTCAATTGATTTGTGTGAGGGCTGTGATACTGCTCGGGTGCCCAAACCGAAGCAGGTGGTTTTCTTAGGGGACCACACCCCGAGCCTTTGACCTGAACGTCTGACCCACAAGGCAGTGGAGCATCGTAAGGAGATGCAGTCCCATGGTAGCCGGTGACCAACGATTGGTTCATACGCCATTTGTTCCCGCAGGATACTGGAGCCCATGTGCACCATTGGTTTGGGGTCCGGTTAAAGCGCCAGACATTCGCTTTTCGTCCTCTCATTTTCGTAAACAACACCCCCGCCACGAGAAGGCAGTGAGTAGGACTTCCCTGGCAGAGGCTGTATACGCATGGCCATGTGAGAGCATTTCGAGAGGGAGAGCGGACTCTCCCCACTCTCGGCCGTACCAGGGCATTTGGGGGCATTTACATGAACTCATAATATTTATTGTATTTATTATAATTAGAAGGTATTGTGTGGATATTTTATAAATTTCACTGGTTGAAATCATGAACCCATTGAAGCTAGACCACCATGGAAAACCTGGAAGCACTGGGTCCCATACTAGGACGAAACGGCCGTCCAGTGCTTCCAGGTTTTCCATGGTGATCTAGCTTCAATGGATTCATGATTTCAACCAGTGAAATTTATTATAATTACCTACTCTAAATTCTTTTAAAAGTTATTCCCAGTTTTTATATTCCTTGAATCTTCGTTTAAACGCAACACTTTCCATACTTGTGGGCTCTTAGTTCCCATTTTGGTTTCAAAAAACTTTTGCTGGTATTAGATAGCTATCTACTGTCCTTTACGCTGTTATATGTTGTAATAACTCGTTAAGTTATGATTACGGGAAATCTTCCTCTTTCCAAACATACAGATGCATTAATTTCCGCAGGTACCCTACGAGTTGAGGTTTGTAACCAATATATACGTATTCCTTATTAATAGAACCATTCTTCAGACAAATCACTGGCTTTTTTATATCAATCATACAATCATGGATATAAATAAACTATTATCGGTTATTGAAGTGTGTACTCAATGTGTTTAGGTGCACGCCTATTTTTCCCATGTATATAGCACTGATAAATTAGTAGTAGAGTGATAACTGTAACTCATTCTTATTAAAAAGGCAGTCACTATACAAATTATTGGCTCTCACATCCATCTTGAAAAAAATAATAACCGATTAAGCCGTTTTTTAACTGTTCTTTAATATGGGGTTAGGTGCGGATAAAAAATTTAAATTATAAGCAGTAAGACTATTGACCTGACGGAGTTCATATATACATAAAAGTGGTGGCCCAACCCTGAAACATAAGATATTGTAGTAGTATTTCGTTTCATCACTTTGTATCGTTCTCTTAAGCGCAATTCGGAAATAGTTTAACTACGCAATCCTAGACAATACTAGAGCACTCAATAATTAAACCATTTAGATTGAACACCAGCATGCTAGACTGGGTAGTAGACTCAATAAATCATGTGATAAACTCCACTCAATTAACTGACTTATGATTAAGAACCATAGATAACCCAGAACAACAGTGCATCATCACACGATTAAAATCAGTCAATAATTGGATAAGAAGTGGGACTTCATACATTCTGATCGCTTGATAAATTTGAATAAGGCGAGAAATACAAGGTTTACAAAATAACATGAATTCATTATATTTCAAGGTTTCTCATCAGTTACAAAAGGCTTAACTTTTCATCAGTGATATTATTATAAAAAAAGATTTATTACATGCCATAATTAATTTAGTTCGAAACTATGTAAGAAACAAGAGGAAACAGCACATTGAACGCCATAGTTCAGATTAAATCATAAGAAAGGAGAAGGGGGTAAAGTTGTAAATGATTGTCAATATAGCTTACTGATATTGGTGTTTTACAATGATAAAGAGAAGACGAATAAAAACAAATTGTCAACAAATTAGCGATAATCAAGACACATATTCAACATAAAATTAAAGTATCAGAAGGGGTTTTGTGGAGATTGTAATAATTTCAATAGTTGAGATCATGAGTCAATTGAAGCTAGACCATCATGAAAACCTAGAAGCGTTGGACGGCCGTTTTGTTCTATTGTGGGACTCCTCAGCAGTGCGCATCCACGACCCCATCTCATGGGATTCGAACCCAGGGCGTATCAGTCGTGGGTCAATGTCAATGGGATGTTATAAAACTTAAAATAATAATTAGTATCACTGAAGTAAATGTAGGCCGTTTGAAGCTGATGAGAAGCCTTGAAATATAATGAACTCATGTTATTCTGCAAATCTCGTTCTTCTCACTTTAATTAAAAGTGAATTTAATTCTATGCATTAGATAGTTTCTTATATTTAATTAAGCCAGTGCTTCCCCACTCCATTCATTGATTAATCAAGCTTTCCTCTCAACTGATATATCAGGAATCTGAATAGTAAGCACTGGGGTACATATTAAACTAAAACCTTCAAGAAGTCAAACTCACTTCGATACCATATGAATGATTGACATAACTTTAGTATTTTCATTCTAATAGAACGTGTCCACTACTCTCTTGGATATTTGATCAGAATATGATAGAAGTATCAAATAACTTCCATAAGCTTGCCATATATCCATAAATATAATGATTGAAAATTATTGTGTTGAAAATAAATATCTCCATTTAAGTCTTCCTTTTAGACATAGTTTATAAGTCTGTAAAGTCACCTGTTCGCCAACAGTACATATTATTGGAAAAAATTTACGTAGGTTACAAGCTCAAAAGTTCTCATAAATGTTATTCGACAAACGGAACCCAAGAGTAATTATTTAGTTACGTATATATTAACAATAATGTTGAAAACTTAGGATATTAATGAAGTAATGCAGTTGCGTTATTTATTTAAAGCTGACATGACAACATACATTTGCATTAAGATCGATTAGAATTTGCACGCTGGCTGTTCTGCTAGTAACACGGAATAGACACACACTGGAAGAGTTGACACTGACGACACTATTTGTCACAATCTGTTTCCTGCCCTCATTGTGAATTAGTGACGTGGGTGAAAATCCCATAGTATTTAAACTGGACTAAATTATGTTAAGTACCATCATGCCAAAACACGTGTGGTGAATATCATAAGATTCGAATTGTGTAGTTTAATCATAAAATCTGATGTGTAATGATAAAATTAAAATATGATTGGTCGCTCAGTGTGGACAAACAGGTACTTCGGCTACTGATTACTAAACATGGGATTCTCTTTCCCCTCATCGATTTCCATTCCGGACTCACGAAGTGTGACTGCTTGTAATTGCATTGAATAAAACATTATCTGGTTGTAACCTAGTTTCCTATTCTGGGCCGTGAATGTTAGGTCTGATACAACGTGACTAATCTTCTTATCATGTTAGCGTATTATCGTAGTATACTAGAGAGATTGATCGGTCCTGGGTTCGAATCCCGCGAGATGGGGTCGTGGATGCGCACTGTTGAGGAGTCCCACAATAGAACGAAACGGCCGTCCAGTGCTTCCAGGTTTTGCATGGTGGTTTAGCTTCAATTGACTCATGATCTCAACTATAGAAAGAAAAATATTTCACAATTGAAATCACGAGACGATCTAAACTAAACCACCAATGAAAATGTGGGCTCACTGGACGGCCGTTCCGCCCTTGTATGCGACTACTCAACAGAGCGCACCCACGATTCCGCACGCGGGACTCGAAAGCAAGAGCCCCGGCCTCGCGCTCGAACATCCAATCCCCTGACTGACGAGCCGGCATCCAACGGTGTTAATGTCGTACTTCAAATTATGTACTGCATATCATATCAAAATCATTAGCTTACTTCTACTTAAGACAGTTACACATTACGATCAAACGGCCTGGTTTAGAAATTCCAAATCCTTCATTTCTAGTAGTCGTGTTTTGATTGAGTTACATTACGTTATAACAACAAGCTGTGATACATTGTTGCGTGCAAGTATATCGTACCTTTTTATCCTAGACTTCTGCTTTATTCAACACCTCCTTGACGGTTTATTAACCGTGGTCCACCATACATTTCAGTTCAACCTACACTTCTAGAGATAACTGAGCATACTTGAACTACAGATGCTGTGGATTATGCATCTAACGTCGAAGTGCACATATTGTTTGGATAAGAACGATCAATTGTGTGAACCTATTTTGTTTAATTCTAAACTTCAAAGTCCTTTGTATTTCAGAGGCTGCTAAACTATCTCTTTAAAGCAATTAGTCCCTTTGATAAGTTTCGATCATGTAATAAGAAGACGAAGATTATCAGAACTATGTGATATATTAGCGCAATAGATTCCGAAAAATCTTATCACACATATACTTGTTAAGAACATTTATATATAAGCGAACAACAATGTTTTCGATTCGATCCTCATCAGGCTTAACTCTAATATACATTAACATTTATATGCATATACGAAATTATTAAACCAATCAAGGTAGTTTATGAGTTAATGATAACAATGAAAACGATTACATAATAAATGGCTAAAAGAAACCTCTTTTCTTGAAGCTGCAATTCAATGGCTATGTAGCTAGTGATGTATTAGGTGATAGACTGACTAGAGCAGTAAAGAGAACGTTTAATATTCCCAACCTCTGTCTATCGTATTCGACCCGATCAATGGTGATTTCACAACTAAAAGATAAGTTACCTGGTTATGCCACTTCTATGTGTATCTACGAGTTCAGCTTCGCCTGTGGAGAAAGCTATACTGGGCGCACAACCAGGCAACGGAACCAAGGAGTTAGTGAACACCTCCTTTCGTGGTCAGGAAAAGGTAACGTCAAGACAATATGCAGCTCAGTTCTATCACAAGTGATCGACAGCGGTCATCTAGTGGACATAAACAAGTCATTTAAAGTTATTTATCGTATTCCTACTAGTTTCCTTTATGCTGTACAAACTCGTCTCTTACACATAGCAGAAGCTATAAGAATTCAAGCCAACAATCCGAGTCTTTGTGTTCAGAAGAAATTTGTAACACCTTTATCTCTCCCTTGGCCTTATTAAATGAATTTATTTGTTATTTTATCAAACATTCTCTTCGTTTATTATTTTTCTTCACCCCCTCCTACCACTTTATTTTATTTTCTCTCAAATATACGTTTTACGGTTCAATTATCTGAACACTTCTTATTACATCATCTTATAATTTTTATACATCTTACCTCACTATCCATATTTTTCTAATCATTGACCTATTTCCGATTATGTAACATTGATTTAAGCCTTTATTATTCTTATCAAAACTAGTACACCTGTCATCATACTATCAATTTGTACTTTTCACTTATTATGTAATCGTTTTCATTGTTATCGTTGACTAATAAACGACCTTGATTGGTTTAATAATTTCCTTTATGCATATAAATATTACTGTATATTAGAGTAAAGCCTGATGATGATCTAATCTAAAACAATACTGTTCGCTTATATATGTTGTTCTAAATTTACAATATGGGAATATTTCAAAATTTGAAGAACATTTATGCATAAAAACAAAAGGTCAACTAGACTGGTAATGGAGTAAGAGGAGACAAGGATAAGAATAAAAGTAATAATAATGTGAACACAATTTGAAACCTAAACAACAAGGCTAAAAAGCCAAATCGTTAAACTCCACTAAACTTTCTATGAAATATTAAATCATCTGCATATGGAAATAATAATCGCTCATCATATGATATTATGGTGTTTATATGAACTAGTGATTCTTTTGTACTTGATGACTGTCTAATTTCGAATTCCAAATACAATACGTTCGTTCGTGCTCACTGAGTTCTATTTCTAGTTCGTGTAAAAATTCGAATACTTCTAAATATCACAGATATTTAACAGCAATAAAACTGTTATTCAATCAATCTACTGGATTTCATTTGTTCCCGATCTCCCGATTTTGGGGGAAATTTGAGGGAAAGCTCAATAGAAACTTTTGGGGAAATGGCACCACAACCCCCAGATTTCCCCAGAATCTTATTACACTTTGGGGAAATCGGTCGGTATTTATTGATAAAACTCAAAAATTTTCACAATATTGGGGAAATTACTCGTTTTTCCCCAATATTTTACGTAAACTCTGGATGCTTCCGCTATCTTTCCCCAGAATCTTATTACACTTTGGGGAAATCCGTCTATATTTATTGATGAAACTGGGAAATTTTCCGCAATTTCGGTGAAATAATCCAAAATGTCTCGTTTTAATGCAATACTTCTCCACAGTTTTTTGATAGATATCACGAAAAGAATACCTAAAATTTCCTGCTCAGATATTCTATTTTTCCTATCAATTACTCACATTAAACGCAGCGCCAAATAAACTTAACTTTAGTTAGTAATGAGAATCGATCTTTCGTTGTAATTAAAAGACTGATTCGTCACACATTTAAACCCAATCTCCCAAGTTTGGGGAAATTTTTAGGGGAAACCCCTAAATATGTGTTGCGCAGTTTCCCAGGCAGGCATTTCATAATCAGTGTATTCCTATATCTTTGAAGATGAAATTATAATGAATAAAAATTAATTTTAATAATATCATGAATTTCGGTCACAAATACTGTACCGATGTTGAGGTTTTGTTTTAGTATGACAAACAGACACGAGACAATGAGTCGTCGGCTTTAAACCACTTTTTCCAAATTCTCACGCCATGCAAGTGGTTTATTGGTTTTCTCCACAATTTCGACCAATGCTTTCGTTCAGTCTGACTACAGCTAATTGTTTCTTTGAGACTAATAATTTAGAGTTTGTTAAAATGGCTAAGAGACGGACTAAAGTCGCTAGAGATTTAAAGTTTATGGGCTGTCCCAAATCAACCTTTTACAGAAGGCCTGTCGTTATTCCAAAGCCCTAACCAACAGTAGTAGCCCCATTAGTTAGTGAAGCATTCATAATTAGGATCTGTGGTGGTGAAGTTAAACCATCTAATTTCAACGAAATGTCCGCAGCACTTGTAACTCAGTTACAAGAATTGCTGACATTAGGGCTTTATGTAAATGAGTGTCAGGTACATTTGACAGTTAAATTAGTAACTGTTATTTTGACACTCCAGCTCGTAGCTACTTCAGGTATGTTATTGGACACAACGGCACCGCTGGCTGCGACAAATGTCAGGTTTTATGGATACGACTATATGGTCAGATGACTTTCCGCAATGGTGAACACGACTTGAGAAGTGATGTCAATTTTCGTAGTAGGTCCCAATCCATCCATCATCGTCATAGAAGTTCGTTCGAAAATCTGCCTCTGGATATCTTAAAATCTTTCCCATCAGAACCAATGCATATAACATACCTAGGTATCATGATAAGCGGATTCCCCCATGGAAGGATCTAGCTGTTAAGCAACTTAATCAGATTGATCAGTTTATTTCTGCATCCATCAGTGTAGCACTGGACTTATGTAGAAATCACACTATATGAGACTTTCAAAAGAGAATGTCGTTCATTAAATGAAGTTTCAGTATGGAAAGCAACTGACTGTCGGCTGTTTTTTATTATACTTATGTCCTGTAGTTCTTTATGATAGGTCACCATTACCAATGTAAAGAAACTTTCAGTGCCTGTCTTTGTCAGCATATTTATTATTTCACGCGCAGTTACACACCACATTCGTAAACAGTGTTCGCGTCAATCTGAACAACTTCTTGAGTTACGAATGCTGTTACGGTAGTGAACACTTAGTCTATAATATGCGTAGTTTAAATCGCATTGTTGACGACGTGATAGAACATGGCAATCTAGAGTTATTTTCTGCCTTTCCTTTTGAATCGTACATGCGGAAAATTAGGCGTTGAACACATTGCGGATTTGCTACGGCTAAACAAGCTGTACAGCGCCATGCCGAAGAAGTTTACTTCCAAAGTTTACCGAGTAGGGCATGGCAGACAATACGACTGAGCCTGAGGTAATTTACGATTCATCAAAGCGAATCATCACTTGCAGAAACCCATTCTCGGAGCTGACTTCTTAAGTGCCTACAAATTATTAGTAGATATGAATAACAAGAGGTTGGTTGACCAATGCACACATTTACAAGTGAATGGTACGCTTGCTACTGATTACGAGATTTACGGTGTTCATATAGTAAAACCTGAAAACAAACTTTTCACCAACATTCTGAGGGAATACGAATGTATCACAAAAGTAAATTACTAAACGGAATCCACGGCACTCCACGTACAACACCATATCATCACTACGGGTCCACCCATTTGTGCCAAGGCAAGGAGACTTCCACCACACAAGTTGCAGATAGCTAAAAGAGAATTTGAACATATGATGCAACTCGGGATAATCAGACAATCGAACGGTCCTTGGGCTTCGCCGCTGCACATGGTTCCAAAGAAGGACCAAGATTGGCGACCATGTGGAGACTACCGACGATTAAATAATCAAACTATCCCAGATAGGTACCCCATACCGCATATACACGACTTCTCTTTAAATCTACATGGAAAACAAATTTTTTCAAAACTTGACTCAGTAAAAGCCTATCATCAAATCCCAATGGCGCCCGAAGACATTAAAAAACAGCTATAATCATAACTTTTGGTCTGTTTGAATTTTTGAGGACGCCATTCGGGCTAAAAAACGCCGCCCCAACGTTCCAGAGGTTCATGGACGAAGTCACTGGAGGATTAGATTTTGTATTTGTCTATATGGATGACGTTTTAATTGCCAGTTCAACACTTACAGACTCTCTTCGAACGCTTTAAAAAGCATGATGCAGTTATCAATCCTTCGAAGTGTATATTCAGAGCCTCAACTATAGAATTTCTGAGACATCACATTGATTCCCAAGGAATTAGACCTCTTGAGGAAAAAGTCGAAGCTATAGTCAATTTCCCTGAGCCCAAGTCGATAAAGACATTACGCCGTTTCCAAGGAATGTGCAATTTTTACCGACGTTTTCTCCCTAGTTGCGCGGCCATCTTGCAACCTTTGACAGATTTACTGAAAATTGATAAAACCTTAACTCAGAACAAAAAAGAGAATACCTTCACCTTAACGCCTGAGGCCAGAGAGGCTTTTGAACAAGCGAAATCAACGATATCCAAAGTTACTATGCTACAGCATTTAAACACCTACCCCACAACGCATCTCATCCTCTGCACCGACGCCTCCCAGAAAGCAGGAGGAGCAGTATTACAGCAGCGCGTGAACAACAACATTACTCCTATAGCGTTCTTTTCCAAACGATTATCGCCAACCCAAGAACGTTGTAGCACCTTTGGACGCGAACTTCTGGCTATGTATTTGGCTGTAAAACATTTCAACTTCCTGCTACAGGGTCGTGATTTCACTATTATGACTGATCACAAACCCCTTTGCTACTCCTTTAGCACTTCGTATGATAAGCATTCTCCACGGGAAGCCAGACAACTTGATTATATTTCTCAATTTACTACAGACATCCAGTTTATCAAAGGCTCTTCCAACATTGTCGCTGGCGCTCTATCTACAAAGGACATTAACACGATAGTACACAACGACATCAGTCTCGAAACTTTAGCTAAACTCCAAGTAGACGATGCAGAATTGAAATCCTGCAAAGAGAAGTCTAGCTTGAATCTTAAACTTATACCCATGCCTTTCTCAGATACTTTCATCCTGTACGACACCTCAATAGGCAACAATCTCCCTTTCGTCCCACACGCTTGCCGACGAGAAATATTCCGACACTTACACGGTCCTTCACACCCAGGAATCCGAGCCACAACTAAATTGATTACTGAACGTTTCGTGTGGCCAAAGATTAACTCAGATATAAAACGATGGACTCGAAGCTGCCTACAATGTCAACGCAGCAAAATTCAAAAACACACAGTCAGTCCTGTTGGGAAGTTCCCTTTGCCGGAGAAACGTTTCCAACACATCCATCTAGATATAGTCGGTCCCTTGCCGCCATCAAAATCATTCACGCATATACTCACATCGGTGGACAGATTCACAAGATGGGCTATAGCGTGTCCCATCGCCGACACTTCTGCAGAGACAGTAGCCGCTACATTCCTTGACCGATGGTTATCAAACTATCGAGTACCATCTATCGTCACTACAGATCGTGGTCCCCAGTTCCAGTCTATCTTATTTCAGGAATTCACAAGACTTCTGGGTGTGAACCACATTAAAACGACAGCTTATCATTCAGTGGCTAATGGTCTGGTCG